AAGCCATGGACTTTAGCCTAAAAAATTGAACTAAAGTTTATTACTTTGCGAAAACGGCGCCAAAATATATTTGTTGCGTAAATGTTCAATTTGCCAAGATTTTACCCGATCATTTGAGAGGATTTTTGCACGGAGATGTGGCCCACAGTGATTATTGCATCTTATGGCGAAAAGTAAGCCATGAAAAGTCCAAAAACTGATTCAAATCTGCGTTTGTTCTTTCGGGAAAAGTTTCATCCAAGCGAAATTACCGATCTCACATGAAAAAGTCTTAGGAATGAGTAGTTGTTTACAAATCTATCGTGATAGTCTGCATAGCGCGGTAAGTATCAATGTCATTATTACGAGAATGAGTAACGCATGCAGATAGTAGGGCCAGTGCGAACCTCTGCGAAGCGGAGGCGACGCACTGGTCACGAATGATTCAATTACTCATTTCTGCAGCTTTGTCGTATGAGGTCGATATTTTCGCGTGAATAAAATTTTTCCCAGAAGAATAAATGCAAATTTGAATCTGTTTTTGGACTTCTTATGGCTTAGTTGTCGCCATAAGGACATGAGCACCGTGGGCTACATCATTGTGCACTTCACAAATGATTAGTTAAAATCTTGGCAGGCTGAACATTTACGCAATTAATTCTTTCTGGCGCCATTTTCGTGAAGTAGTCAACTTTAGTTCAATTTTCTGGCCTAAAGTCCATGGCTTCCACATTAGCTTGTCAAACATATCCATAACATCGCAAAAAGTGGTGGTACAGGCCCAATTTTGCTGGCCAGAAGCTAAGTGGATCCGCTTTACGCGCAATTTTTGAGAGATTTACGCAGCGGATCCGTTCCTGCTTTTGCATAGTAGGCTTTCATGCTGGTAGCAACGCCATGCAAAATTTGGGCTCAGGACGTTGGCTGAAACACGCACTACGAATTTCGTAACGGACAGACAGACAGACACACAAAAACACGTAAATAACCCTTAGCCCGTTATTATAAGTCATGAATGCTATGTTTTTCTGCACCATTTGACGGACGAAGAATACTGTCCGGATGCCGTGTCCCGCACGGCAGATTATGGAGCGAAAAGGTCATATGATTTTTTGTATAATGTATGCTAAGAGACGATTCATCACATGCAGAGAGTGGACGCTGTTGCATTCGATTAAGATGGTTCCTGCATGGGAGAGACAGCAGACGTTAAAGGCAGTGTCCCACCAGAATTTAGTCGCAGAGATTTTTGCATTTTACAAGCCGTTCGGACCTTGTTTAACCCTTTATAGGCTTGAAGTTGCACTAAATTTCCAAAAACCCCTTTTTCAGAGGCCCCGAAAAAGCGACGCGGACGAGTTGTGCCTTCTCAAGCTACCCTCCTTCACAATGGCAGCAACGGCGGGGCGTACCAAATCGCTCTCCGCGTATCACTTCTGATGCATTTTTCTCATCGCAGAGGGGGCCAAATCGAGTCGGGCTTGTTGCAATGACCTATCCGTTGGGCCCTCTGGTAGATTATGCAAAAATGCGCGCAACCTCAATTTTGATGAGAACTGCCTTTAAGAAGGATGAAAAACGCTCGATCAGAGACGCTTACAGCGTCCTCAGTGACGCCCTGCCTTCTCATGTGGTGAATTGCCTACAGGTTTGCCATGTAGAAGGACTTGCAAATTTTTCAAAAACCGCGTTAGAAGGATCCCCATGATTTTTGACTCGCACAAGTAGGTGCTTACAACGAAATGACATGGACTTTGACATGCCTTGACTCAAATCCTGGGCATTGACTCAAAAGGTTATCAACATATCTATATTTCAGCCACATTCGAAGGATTTCCGTCCCGGGGGGGGGGGGGGGAGAGGGATTTTTTTCGAATGAAGGTGCATGGCTCAACGCACTCCAAGATTCTACTGGAATACCCCAAAATTTTTGCGGGCCAACCCCGATACTTCAGAAAAATGGAGATAATTGAATATGAAAAAATAGAATTAACTCAATCGTAAAAGTTTGAACAGGTCAAACTTTTTATTTCATGCAAGAAGGGCTCTGCACTAGTCGGAAGTTCTTGAGAAGCTCTTTTGATGACGGAAAACTTATTAGCTGAAGCTATTTAGGCTTTTAAGTAGCACAAAAAATCTCTGTGTTCTTGTATATTACAGAACAAATAATTTTGAGCTTAGTTAGTCAAGCGTTTGAGGGACTTTTTTTTTGCAATTAAGCGAACTTGTCTAGAGAATTTTATGGACTTGATGAGATTCTGTTCATCAAACCTGGAAAACACCGTTTCAGTAGACATTTTTTGTGATTTTTCAATCTTTTATTGGGTTGAAATTCAATCATCATAGCTTTCCACGGCTGTTTCCTTGAAATGCTTGTTGAAAAGAAGAAAACATTGTCCACAAAAATTTTGTACATCCTCTGAAATTCCTTTCCTTCTAGTTTCTTATATGTAGTTTTATCTTTTGTAGAGATAAGTTCGTTTCGAAATATTGTGTTTTAAAAGGTAAGAGATCCAGTTTCAAAATTTTTTTGTCAAAATCCAACTTCAGAATTTTTACATCTTATCTTCAAAATCTATACAAACGTGCAAAATTTTTGAAAACGAACACAATGGGAGTTAGAAAGTTGTGCTACAGATACACGTCAAAATGAAACTTTCAAAGATTTTCGAATCAAAAACATTCTAAAGCAAACAACGATTGTCTGCTGCAAATTAGCGATTTGAAAACCCTCCATTCGCAGTGTTATTGGAGAAATTCTGTTATAAGAAGCAAGTATAGACTTAGGACTTCTTATAATAGAAAAACGAAAAGTTGCGTTTTGGGCGTTGAATTCCGCCGTCGTCCCGAAAAAACGATGGCTGCAGCGACTTTACAGTGCTGCAATGGTATACCTTACAACTAAACTATCAGTGAAGTCTGGAGCGAAAAAACGCTTCTGGAAAGCCCAAAATCCGCTCCGGAAGTGTAGCGGACCCCGCCGCCTTCAACAAGTAATTTGGAGCGAACGCGGACACGGAGAGCTTCGAAAAAACTTATTTTTGCAATTTTCAAGCGCTGAAAAGCTTATATGTGGCTTCAGCATGGCAAGAAGGCTCCGAAGAGATGGAAAACAGGAGAGCGAAATTTTGCCGGGAGACTGCCTTCGAGGCAGCTAATAAAATCGGTTACTTTCAATTTTTTAGATTATTCTGAAGCAAAAACTTTCTTCTAGGTGTTTAACGATGGTCAGCAAAAATCGATTCAAAATGCTCACTGAAGTACTTGAGACCAGAGACTTTTTAGTTACTTCTTGTGTATAGTTGTTATCCTCCAGTTTTTTAGCCCTAATTGAAGCATAGCCAAGGCTAGACGCAGACGGACTCACTTTTGCTTCACCTGTTCCCAAAATTTATCTCTAAGCATAGTTAAAGTGGAACGGCACACATACGCATCTTCGCTAATCGAACCTTTCGAAAACAATTTTCGTTAATAGACACTGTGCAAGTACCTATTGATGAAGTTTTCCAAAAGTTCATTGTGTGGAAAAGCGGCGCCGAATAATACTTGCAAAGAGCTTGATTTTTGAGGGTTTATCTCAAAAATGATGAGAATTTTGTCTGGGGTTAGTCTTTTGCTAACTTTTTTTCCAACTGAACCCTGCAAAACTTCTCTGATACTGCCATTTAGAAGTCATTGAATGATAATACTATCATTATCGAAAGATTTCTAACCTTTCTAATCTATCTGCATGAGCAAATCGTAAGAATGTAGATGGTAAAACCAGCGTCCTTGCGAAAGCAGAGGCGATGTACTATCATGACTTAGAACAAAGCGCTAAGCGTCTGTCTCTTTGTCTGTGTGTGTTTATGTCTGTCTGTTACGAAATTCAAAGAGCGAGTGGTATTCAAGACCTTGAGCTGGAATTCTGGCCATAGCACATTATCAGCATGTAGGTAAACTGTGCAAAAGCACAAGTAGATTCGATAATTAAAACCTTTGAAAACTGCGCGTCAAAGGGGTCCACACGATTTTTGGCCCACCGAAGGGATCGGTGGTTGTACTTTTTGCGAACTTGTGGGTTTGCTTAACAAGTAAATGCGTAGACCATGGACTTGAGCCGAAAAAGTGACCAAATATATTTTTACGCAAAAGCAGCGTCAAAAAGGAGTAATTGGTAGACCGCCAATTTGTCAAGGCTTCACTAATTATTGTGAAGATTTTCGCTCAGAAATGTGGGTGACAAAAGTGGCTATCCTTTGTAAACTATCCGACTATGATAACTCCAGTAACTGACCAAAATTCTCTTTTAATCTTCTACAAAAGGATTTTCTCTTCTAAAAGTTACCGCGCTTACAAGAAAAAGCTCATGGAATTAGTTAGTAGTTGTTTACAAGTCGTTCATGAAGGTCAGCATCACACGGTGAGTCTCATTGTCAGAGCCAACATCATGCGAACAGGAAGGCATAAGATGGAAGAGCTAGTGCAAGCTTGGAAGCAGGGGTGGTGCACTGGTGTATTATAAATGGGTTGAGTCTACACAAAACGACGGTACACATTACTTTGTAAAAACAACGTAGAAATGTAGGTAAGACCAGGCCAGTCCTCTGCAGGAAGGTTGCCAACAGTCGACTGATTTTTCAGATTTACATGATGATAGAAATATTTATTTTGCAAATAGCAGAACGAAAGAATGGCGAAGATCTAATATCCAAAGAATAGCTAGCTCAACTTCCAATAGGTGGAAACCGCGGCGGATCCCAAAACGAATGCTTTTCCAAATAGCAACTTTAGATTACTGGTTCACTAGTATGTAAAAAAAGAGGAAATTATCTATTTTATAGCAGTAGCGTGGACCGGGAAGTTGATGGTAATCATTGACCTCCAGGCTTGCAACTTCTGCAAGTGCCTTTTGTTGCTCGACGACCTTCTTATGCTCATTCTTACTGGAGTGAACACTTGCACAAAACTGGTAAACAGAAGTATTTCTGAGCAAGTTTTATGGTAATGTTTATTCGCATGGTTCGCTCTTTTATACGCTGATGCATGTGGCATCAGACCAGCTCATCGTCAGCTTAGCTATACTCGTGTTGGTAATCGGCGCAACTTTTTCATCTATCATTTACGCTTTTCTTTCAGGTCACATTGTTATATTTCCTCACCGTTACCACTCAAAAACAAAACTACAACTTCAGCAAAAGTTGACAACGTTTCTGAATCTATGTTGAAAGAGAACAGCATTTTCACGAGCATCGTACGACAAGAGAGGAAAAAAAGGAGAGTCGCAGTGTTGGTGAAAAGAAGCAATAAGTCAGGTGATTTCCATGACATTTTAGGGAGGTTTAAATGAAAAATTATGTTTAAGACGATGAAACACTACTCGACTCTACTCGACTCACTCGACCTACGCAGAATGTTGGCGTCAAAGCAGGCAAAAAGGAAACGACCCTTGGGCTACCAGAATCAAGCGTAAATCGTAATAAATCTGATACTTCTGCGAGTGTCACTACTGAAGAAAGCACGCTCTACGGGGTGAAATGGATGAAGTGGCAAAAATATCTGGCTGATCAAGTGAGCGTGTTTTAAGGGCGAGAAGTTTTCATTACCTTCAGGTTTTCTTTCTTTAGCAGTTATTTCTACCGATCCATATACCTCATATGGATGAAAATCTTCTTTTGCGGCTTTTGAAGGTTGTAAATGTTGTAGGCAGAAAGTAGCTTTTATTTAGATGTAATGCTCCTTCAGGACAGTGAGTCTGCCAAACGGAAAACAGCAGCAGGACCAACGCCAGTACGTAATGTAAAGTTTTAGAAAGTTGGATTCTCTTGATTATCTTTTCAACTTTAGGAGTGTACAGAGCCGTCGCTTTTCATAAGTCTAGCATTTCTGATTCTAATTGGCGCAACGACCATATTATGTCAGAGAATGCGTAGCATCGACTTTGTGCGAAGCCCCTCTATTAAGTACACTAGAACAGTAAATAATGATGCAAAGTCCCAGCTCGCAAAAGCGAAGGTATGCAAATGCATTGCTTGCAATTTACAAACCACCTCATGGAGTTCTGAGGCCGTATTCATCATTGCTACCTTGAGGTAAAATGAACCTTGAGGTAGGATTATCACTCAAAACCCGTATTCATCAATGTACCTTGAGGTAAATGCTCAAGGTTAGATCAACCTTGAAAATGATTTCATGTGGAATGAATGATACCTTGAGGTGAATTCTACCTCAAGGTAGCCTTATCAGCGATAAATCCGTATTCATCAAACTTGATGCCTTTACCTTGAGGTACATTTACAATAGAAACTTTTACCCTAGCAAAAGGCAAGGTTAGGAGTGATACCTTTAGAGATCTACAAGGTTTTAGAGGCTGATTTTTCACGTGAACACTGCAGCGACAAAACTGAATCCATTGCAGCAATTTTGTCTAATTTCGTTGAGATTAGCTAGAGTTATAGACATGTAAAGAGATTAGGATCACATTTCTCTTAAATCCTATGGATATGTTGTGAGTGTTTTAAAAGTCCTGTGAAACTGATGTACTGAACCAGAGAAAATCAAACAGATTACTTATTTGCTCCAACAGCATTTTGAGCATCATAAACCCTATCAAACAGTATTTTTAGCATAGCACACTGAAACCACAAGCGTAAATTTGTTTAACCCAAAAACAAATCGCTTTGCAAGTCTGTATTCAAGAAAATCCAGTGTTGACGTTCGTATGACGCGTATAGTCTTGTTCAGTTTCTCAACTCAAATTCAACTGAAAGGTAGGCATCGCAGCAGATAATTTTGCAAATTGCACTTAGAAGCAGACATTTTCCCGGATAGAGTCTTAAAACCTAGAATTGTTAAATATATGGACCCTATCCTCTCCAATTCAGCACTTATAGCCTCTCACACTCTAAAGACATAAGTATCCTTGCTTAAATCCCATGCAGATATGAAAGAAAGCAATTCACCGTAAGTACGCTATGCCCTTCTCTGAGAAAACGTCAGTGTTTATCATGCTGGCACAGGTTATTTCAACCTTGAGAGATAAATTTTGATGAATACGAAATTGTACCTTGAGGTAGATTCTACCTTGAGGTAGTTTCTCAAGGTATCTTATATTGAAGTAGGGTTCATTTTAATCTCACCGCTACAGCCTAGCAGCTAGAAAGGTACGTGCCATAAATTCGTCCATTCTTCATATCTCAGGCTCTGAAAACGTATGAGCCGCGGAAAAGCAGCAGTAATGTGCCAAATCTTCTCAGCCGCTAAGGTGCAGCCCACCTGCGGCCTTTGGGTGCAATTGCACCAAAATACACTCAATCCGAGATCCTCCGTAGGGCGGCTGACCCCGGATCATAATTTTACTATAATTTTCCTTTCCCTGTCAGCCCACATTTTGTAAACCGCAGTAATAATTAAGGGCCACAGCGTGTCCGCTTCCAGCGTCTGAGCTGGCACGTTTGTGTCATTACGACAATCGTTAGTTTTGAATTTGGTTAGCTGGTTTTGGTAGATAATTCTCAGAATTTTGCTTTCGCTGAAGCAGAAAGATCATGGCGTCCACGTAGCTTCGCACTCAGTTTGTAACACTTTCCTATGTTTCTCCAGATATTTTCTTACTCTTATTCATGCTTTTCTTTTAGCTAAGATACAGCTCTACTACGCCACTATCTAAGAATTCGAATATTGTTACGATAAAATTTTCCAGCAGTGATTACGAGATTGGAAAGCTAGTGGAACCACATTTGTGATCAGCAAACTGTAAAAAACCCCTCAACAAATTTTTAAGCAATTTTGAAATTTTGACGCATCCCACGTTTCGAAAATCTTAACTGTATGAAACTGACATTCTTTTCGTGGCACCATTAACCTCAGGGGCAGTACAGTTGTCTATTCTCTGATTTTAATACCGTACAATAGACAAGTGGCTCAATGGAGGGGAGGGGATATTCTGAAAATTTTCTAAACTTACTTAAATGAATTGTGAGAATATGCAAGTGAGTCGTTTACGCTTGTAAGTAACTCCATTATTAATTTTTTGATACATTTCAAGTTAGCTTTGTGAAAGAATATTTCCGGTGGAAGACCGCAAAGAGACAGCAAAAACTTTTGGGAAACATTCCAAATATTTTTTCGGAGTGCATGGCTAGCCCCACTTACATTGAACCCACAAGTACTTTTTCTCTCCCTCTCCCCTGTACAAAGATTTGCCATCGCCACTACTATAGACCTACCACAACCCCAGTCTGGAGTTATGGTTAAAACTGGATGTGATATTCATATTCAACATGGCGAATAATTTAACATCTGCCTGTAACCAAGTAAACAGGCCTTTGATGTTACTCTACTACATATTTATAATACCCAAAAACGATTATTACAAGTCTACATTAGACAACTTATTGGAAAATAAAGTTTTAACTTCAGATGAATGATATCGAAAGAGAAACCCTTGAACATCTGATTGGCATGGCGTCCCCAAGACATTTTCGAAGTAGGGTTGACCCCCTGCAGATTTTAGACGATTACCGCTTTAGGCAGCGGTTTCGTCTGTCTCGCAGAGGGTTTTACACCCTTCTCTCGGAATTACAAGAAGATCTTACTCCGAAGACTACAAGAACAGCGTCAATAAGCGCGTCACATAAACTCGCTATTTTTTTAGAACATCTTGGTAGTTCGAGTTTACAGGTTTGAACAACATTCAAAACACTTTTCAAGAGGAAGAATACGGGGTTTCAGAGAACAACTGGGTTAACACTCGGTTGCTCTCAAGCAACTGTCTCTCGAATAATCGCTGAAGTTTCGGACCTATTTTACCGTAGAAGAAGGGAATTTATCAAATGGCCAAGCTCTTTGGAACAGAGCGATATGGAAAGACGGTTTGCTTTCTTACCCGGATGTGAAAAGTAAAAGATTTTCATTTCATCAGATTTTTCAACCTCTGCGGCATTCCACGAGTAGTGGGGGCGATAGACGGATCGCACATTAAGATCATTGCCCCCTCTGACTCAGAGGATAGCTATGTAAATCGGTAAGAGTTAACCAACCCTTTGTAATCGTTAGTGTCATTCTTACACTTGCAGAAAAGACTACCATAGCATCAATATGGGGGCTGTCTGTGATTTAAACCAAAAGTTCTTATGGATAAGCGTAAAATATCCAGGCCGCGCCCATGATTCAAGGGTAAAATAAATCAGTCATTTTAAAAGCGTGGTGTGCATTTTAAGGTTTTTCGATCCAGTCGGCTATATAGCGATTTATTAGAGGGCAGGAAGACGGGGGTATTATTAGGTGACAGCGCCTACAGGTCTGAACGCTTCCTCTTAAAACCGATATTGAGGGAAGACAGAAGCCCTGCAGGTTTATTATGTAAAGAAAAGACTCACTTATAATATTTTCTCTTAAGAAACACGTTATACAAACGCTGTCTGCCGGGGACGCGTGGTTATAGAAAACGCCTTCGGATCCCTCAAAAGGCAATTTCAGGCCCTACACACAGAGCTGAGGTAGGCTGAGACGTCAAACAAACTTGTATCAAGTCCTCATTCCAGGCATACCCCTAGTAGAAGTGCTAAATTAATAATTTCATGTTGTTGTATAAGAAATTTTGCGATTAGTATGAGAGAAGCTGCATTCACTGATACTGAGAGTATTCCTCAACAATATCCTGAAGCAGGAGACGAAGAAACAGACCTACCAGAAATGGCAAATGATTTTCGACGTACCATTATTGATCGTTACTTCACGTAAGAAGCCAAATTGTTTTCAAAATAGAACTAATCCAATTCTTTTTATGTATTTTGCATAAACGTGTTGCAAAAAGATTCTAATTCAGATTCTGAGAGAATTGTGGCACATAAGGATCTGCTGGGTTACAGCCAATAGTCAAGGGTGCACCCTTATAAGAGAAATTAGGTTAGGGTAGATAACTTCATAACCGCTGGTAACCGTCAGCAGGCCGAAGCAGCCGCCAGCCTGTAGCTGCCGCTGTGCGCTTTTGTTAAATCACAAAATGTTTACTATGCTGCATGACTAGACTAGTAGGCTACTAGCCAGCTTCGGCTTCGAGTCCCAGTAGCCTGCTATCCCCAAGCCGGCTCATTAGAGGATGTTCCAGATTCATGGAGCAGAAACGATATTCGCACTTTCATAGTAGACCGTTGCTACAGTTGAAAATGATTTGACAGTATGTTAACCGTTAGTAAATTTTACACAACTGCTGCAATTTTCAATCTTTATTCAACTATTACTTTATCAATGAACTGTATAAAATGTTCTAAAAAAGAGACCTTATGTCACGAAGCGTCACGAAACAAAAAGAATCATAGAAAAAATCCAATACTTGGACTATATGATTCGTCACGGCCTGCAAAATAGTACGGAACTTGTGCCGAAGGATTTTTAGCCGCAACAGCCTTCGCCTTTGTGACTTCAAGAGCTAATTTGGCTTCTTCCAGTTTTACTTCCGCTACCTCGATCTCCAGTTTTAGTTTTTTTTGTTTCATCTGCGCCACCTTTATCTCTTCTTCATATAACATGGACCTCTTGTCTGTAAAAAGAGACAATGTTTCTCGAGCGCTCCTGAACGGTTGCACAATTAGGACTGTAAATGAATGCACATGCTGAACTTACGCAGACAAACTTTTCCTATGAGAAGACCTGAGAGTATGCGTGTGCTGTGCGTCTAGATCATCAGTGATCAAATCCTTTCTAAAAATGAATTTATACATAGCGAAACGAACTAGAAATAGCTTATACACTGTGGTTTCAGGAATTGTGTTAGTTTGAGGGGGGGGGGAGGGAGTGTGGGGGCCTGGGACAAAAACTCCAAGCGCTTCCAATAGAGTTCTTTGGACTTACCCCCCTCCCCTCCCTCCCTCTCTCTCGATCACCATCGCTGCGATGCTACTTACTCTTCAGCAGCTGTTTCGCCATTCATTTGTTCGTCATCATCAAAATCATCTGCAATAAACTCTTGTTATTAGAAATAAAACCTCAAGAACTGACCGATTTCCGGCACACCAGATACGTGGTGTTTTTCCGATAATACTTCTGCGAGGGGAATCAGATATGGTGGTAATGTAGGCAATGCAAAAATCCCACCGCCCGTTCCGGAATATTTTTCCTTCTAAACATTCCTTCTGTTCAATAATTAGTTAAGGGACTATCAGCTGATTACCTCCAACTTAAGGTGCTTCTGAACTTTTTTAATTTCATTTTTAATCTTTTCTTCGACATTTTCTTTAGTTCTTTTCGCGACTCCCAAACTAGAGATCTCTAAGGCCCATTCATTCAATAGAATTTGACGTGCGCTTTCGCCCGTTTTCCCTCCTAAACAAAGTTTTTGGAGTAAATTCCGACTGAAAGTGACTGACATTCAATCAATTTCATAACAGTTTAATCATAAACTTTTAAGAAATAAAACTGTATTAATAGAATAGAATCTTTTTAGAATGAATCGGTAACAAATGGTCTGGTGCTAACTTTAAGTAACTCAACTAAGTAAGTAAGAATAACTAAAAAAAACTTTAAAAATCTAAAAAAACTAACTACTTACTTAACTTAAGTGAGTTAACTTGCTAACTTGAACTTGCTAACTTATACAGCGCTTATTTAATTATGAAATTAGCATTTTTGATTCCCCGTATCTCCTTTACAGAGAAGCTAGGAAAAAAGAGACGGTCTACGTAGATTCTACATGTTCCTACCTAATAGTATGTCGATTGATGAGACATAACGATTCAACTAAAAAAGTCTTCTGTTCGATGACCTTTCAAAACCAAAGCATTGAGAAATTTTTCATATTACACCTTTGTACCACTTATTATTTGGAATTTTTGAAGAAGAAAGTAAATTTTTCATACCTGCTTTAAATTTGCCGTGGAATTCGTCTCTATTCTTTAGATATAGAGATATCAAAGTTTTGGTTTCTTCTTCAGTAAATACCGGGACTTTTCGATCGAGTTTTTGCTTCTTAGGTTGCGACATTTCTGAAATGAGAATTATGAATAGTTTGTCAGAGGAAGTATAGCGGGATATCTTGGCCTCACTCCTTTTGTAGGATTGAGGGGAGTAGAAAGATGTCAAGACATTTGCTTCAAATTCTCTTAAAGGCACTATCCCGGCAGATTTTGGGTTTCCACGTCTTTGCATTTTCTGGATCTTTTTAGCGCAAAGTCGAAGTCAAAGTCAAAAGTCGCGACACTAGATTCTGATGTACATTGGTCAGCGGGCAACTGGCAAGTCTGCTAACCCGCTAAGGTCGTTTTTCGAAAACTCGATTTTGCCGGGTTTAATTCTTAGCTCTTATTTGATTCTCATTTAAATGGAGGAGATAACCGCGTAAGGTATGACCAGTAGTCAGGCTGCCTCATCATTCACGAGGTTATGTATCACACCTTATTGTATGGGTGTTCGGAGAAACAAAAGTTCCGTGCTTTCAAGTGTTAACTTGACCAGCGCAGCCGTCCAGCATGGCGTAAGTTTAAAAGGGCGCACGAAATTTTGCCCACCTAACAATAACAAGAACGAAAAAGAATGATAACAATGAATTGACCTGAGTTTGGTTAACCATCATACACGGGGAACTATCATGTGTTAACACAATGTGTTGTGTTGACACACTCAGCTTCCCGTTAGAGCACGACACGAGGGCAAATGTCAAGCATGTTTCAAAAGTCACCATATAAAGAGATGGCCGAATCTGCCAAATGATGATATTCAACAAATTTAGAAAGGAAATTAAAAGCTGCCAAAGCTGCCTCGAGCTTGCGCTCGAGAACTTCTTTCAGCCAAGCTGTCGCACTATTTGAAAGTTTATAATTATGAGATACTGACTGGGCAGGTTCTAGAAATAGTTACCCACATGCAACTTCATAACTTCTAGAAAATGTCATAAAAACGTGATGAGATGAGTCTCACCTTTGTGAGCTGCACTACTAAATCGAAAAACATCGCTATCCAGAGTGAGAAAGTGATGAATGTCCTGCGCTGCCTGTTCACAGACCTCATTATTTATGCACTGATCCACTTCTTCGATGCAGACGCCTAGAATACTTATGTACCAAGTCGTTACCAAAATATATTGGACAAAAAAGATAAATCAGGACGCACCTAAATTACGCATATCACCTGCAAGCTGAGGGCACTCAACAGCGCGAGTTTTCGCTACATCCAGTACGGCAACCTAAAGATGGTGCATGAGATAGAATCGCTAATTTCGAGTCAAAAACCAAAACAGATATGGCCATATTTGTAGCCAATTCCGATCGCCTAAGTGGCGCCAGAATAACCATCAATCCCATTGTACATATAGATAGAAGGCTTTGCATCAGTCTGTTCATCGTGTGTTAGCTTGTCTGCTAAGCTTACATCGCGGCTCAACAGCTTTCCTTCATTCGGCGTCTTTTGAAGTAGAAATAGACAATCACTGCAGCTTTTCAGCGACCTTCATGCTTAATCTAATAGACTTGAAGGTTAACGTGGTATACTTGGCTTGCCTACTATGGTTAGCTATGAACCGATTTTATCATACCTTTTTTAGCTGTTTTTTAAGCGGTCTCAACATCATTAGCATGGTTCACGCGCAAATGTTGCCGCAGCGCAAGCGCAGATATCAAGCGTCTCTGCGGGCGACTGAGTCATTTTTGGTACCAAATGAATGACTTTCCAATTTGTGACTTGCTTTTTCTATTTCTAGAGCGAACAAGGAAGTAATTAAGAGTTTTATACGTCGGAAATAAAAGTGATGATCCTATATGCGAACAAGTCTAACGAATCTGGCTGACCTTGCCACTGATGTTATCGGCTAGCCTAGAAATAGTCCGAAAGCTTGCTGCAAGCTGATTCGCATCAGCTTCACCACAAAACGTGACACGGACATTCCAAAAGCCCGACTTTGCTCACTGGCCGAGCTCCCTTGACATAAGCTTCATCAGTAATCACACGAAAAACACTATAAAATGTTAACTGGGAATGATGTACCTGAAGCGCACTCTTTCAATAAGTCTGCGATTTTTCGTTGAAGCCTTTCCTCTTCTCCTCTCTTCACATCGAGCTCAACGCTTAACTCTTGCAATATGTTATCAATATATTGATCGCCCTCATCAACATCCTGAATTTGAGGGCATTGAAAATTTAAGCACATTAACTACACTAGAAGTTTGTTTACCTCTTTGTTAGGCTCTGGTTTACCCTTACTTGGACGTATACCACGAGGCCGACTGGATGAGACAGTTGATAGCGTTTTCTACAAGTAGGATAGGTGTTTGCCTGATTCGAAACTCGTCCTAACCTTTGATATCAGGTCTGCAAAACTAAGAAAATCCATGCTTGCAGAGATTTGGTTTGTGATATCCGGGACATAGATAATGACAGAAGAAACTAAAAATAATGTTTGAAAAATTGATGAACAAGGAAACAAAAAAAAACACACAAGCGTAAGAAGATTGCACGTTTCAAGAGGCGATGATTACACGAATGTATCGAAGTGATACCAGATACTTTCGAACTTTGTCGCCAACCAACTTCACCTCGCTTTCAACGACAAAGTTGTAGAGGTCTCTAGTCCTCTCATTCCTAAAAGTTTTAATGCAACGATGGATGATTCAGAAACGTTGAATAAGAAACTACGGCAGGCGCCATACTCCTCGATGAGTATAGCATGGCGACGATCGGTACGCATCAAATACGTGTAAAACCGGCGATTTTTGTCGCCGATATTGGCGCTACGACTGGCGATCGCCCGTCGCCGATATTAGCGGGGGATCGCCAATAGGACGATTTGCGATCGCCAATGCTAGCGATTTGCGATCGTCAAGCGTAGCGATTGGCAATCGCAAATCGTCCTCTTGGCGATCCCCCGCTAATATCGGCGACGGGCGATCGCCAGTCGTAGCGATTAGCAATTGCCAATATCAGCGACAAAAATCGCCGGTTTTACACGTCGCCCGTCGCCATGCTATACTCCTCGAGGAGCATAGCGCCTGCCTAATCATTCCAAATAAAGAGCTAAAAAAATTATCGAGATAGTTCAGCTGATAAAAAAAGTGGTTGAGACATTTCAACGAACGACTCAAAAATCAAAGAATTTACTTACAATTGGAAGTTAAATACAGCGCAGCCCTTTATGACTAGCGTAGATGCTATAATGAGCTCATAAAACATAGCTCAGCCCACGAAAACGTGAAACCAATAAGTTGGCCACGTACTCGTTGCGCAGCTAAACAAATACCAATAAAACACATTGATAACATATAAATAGGTATGATAATGCAATGCAACGAAAATCCTCTCTAAGGTTCCACTAAAAGTGAATACACAAATAGCACGAAACAACACAGCAGTCGAAACATAACAACAAATTTGTAAAGCAAAGGTTCTTTCAAACTCGCATCTTTTGCTGGCCCAACGCAAATCCAACACTTCGCTCTGCGACTGTTGTTGTCTCTCTCGCCTAATTCTGCGTTAGCGAAGAGATATTCGTGACTGTAAGAGTAGATAATGGCTTCAGAGCTGTTTTTTTCTTTTGAAAAGTTTAACATCATTAACATAAAGCGAGCGAGCATTGCATGCGAACGTAAATACCCACAGAACAAAAGTAGAAATAAGGGACTTACAATAATGTCTTTACACACCGCTAAGAGTTATGGCATGCCCTGAATGAGTATCACCGCACATCATGCAATGTGAGGTAGAATTAACCTTGAGGTACTTTGATGAATACGAAACGGCCTTAAGGTAGAATGTACCTTGAGGTACATTTTACCTCAAGGTTCATTTTACCTCGGGTAGCAATGATGAATACGGCCTCTGGATTCCAGTGAAGTATAAAAACAGCATTGATTAATGAGGCGATAACAAACTTCAGTCTGGCGATACATTAGCTGTAACGCCAATATCATAGTTTTTCTTATTTTCCAATCAATTACAGTAGCACTATTATAATATTGCGATATATTTACCATTAAAAAGTATAAATTTTGCGAAAACTTTGCTGAATTTCATTTTATCAAAGTACTTGTTTCCAGGACTACAGGAGTTGCTACAGGTCATTTTTTGAGTTTTCAGGCCTCCCTGCCTAACATTGCTGGAATGAAGGGCGCCTATGGACGAGGAAACTTGACTGTGAGCTTTTCAATATCGGTATTTATTTCCTACATAAGTTTCGTGTATAAAAAGAATTAATCGTTTTGCACATTTCTAGCCCGTGATTGAAACTTTGTTTTTGTTCAGTAGACTTGAATATACTTTACAAAGTCTCTCTTTGAAGTTCGCATAACTCAACAATAAGAGCATCCAATTCAGGGTTCTTTTTCGAAAATCCACGCAATCATTTACAGTATCGTCCCTTCACCAAAGCTTCGACAGGCTGATTCAATATATGCTTGAAAAGAAGATTATGTGCCCTCCTAGCAGTGCAGCAGCAATGACTTCTAGTTCACTTTGTCAAAGCTCTAACACTTTCGTCAATTCATATCTCGGCGAAAAAAATGATGCGTTTTTTTAGCAGCGCCCAGAACAAAATATACATTGGGTATCCGTGCCTTAGATGAGAAAGCACTCAAATTTAGAATCTTTTGAATCTAAAGTCGTTTGTTGTGTTTCAGGTATTAACTGATATATTCGATAATTTGGTTCGTCCTTTCCACTCGCTTTCAGATGATACCAGCTTTGCCACCGATGTCCCTGCAAAAGTGAATGCATGTAGAGTTTTTTTTAATGATGGTAAAGTACCAAATTTTTAGGGCCGGCCAACGCACATGCGCATCAAGCTGTTGACGGCGGAAGAACTAGCTCGAGAAGAGATTTGATATTTATTTATGTCAGTGTTAATTAACATATTCATGTCGAATAATTGCACATTTGCTTGAACGTTCCAATGTTCCTGATTAATAAAAATTATATAGCGTTTGTACAGTTCTTCCTATCACGGCTTAGTGTATGAAAAATAATTGGCTCTTTTACAACAAAATTCAGCCATTTTCTAATTGAAACCGATAACGATGACATTATGGAGCGACCATAAAGCATTGCACATTAAGGCATATAGGGCATTAAGGGCAGTGTCTCGGCAGATTATGCATTTCCATCTTTTTGCATGTTTTGGTCTTTTCGACCCGTAGACCTCGAATTTGAGCTTTGAAGCGGGTGAAAAGATCTTTTTTCGGGGCGTTTAGCTATCCAAAAGCAGCTCGGACGAGAACAATGGGAAGTTGGGAGGCACTGGCACGAAGACCCGCTGCCAATTTTTGCTTTGGTTAGCATGCACAGTGTGGGAGAGCGATCGTGAGATCCCGGGCCGAATGGCAAGCGAAGTCATCCGAGCGCCCGCCCGTCTATGGGCTATTTTCCCGGCCCAGGGGATACATCAACCAGCCGGATTGCGGTGGAGGTCATGAAATGACCAGGAATCCAATCATAGCAATTTTCCCCAGGGCGCGAATTTGCCGGGACACTGCCTTTAAGTCGTGACGATGGCGCTACCGCGCGCAACACGCACCATTTAAGTCGAGAGGAAACCGGTTAAAGGCTTCCTTTCGGCTCGAATGGTATTTCTCCTAACGTATGGTATACTTATGGAAGTGATTAAGTAAGCCTTGAGGTGACGCCTTTTTGTAACCTTTGATTCAACTAGCTTGGCTTCGGGAAGGCGGTGCTCTGTGACGTAATTAAAGCCGCTCGCGCCAGCGACGCACCTGCGTCTTCTCGCGCGAGGGCCCTCTGATCATTACTTAGCCTTAGTTAGGTCAAGAAGTCCCGCCTTGCCGAAGCCAAGCCAGCTGAATCAAAGGGTATGAGAGTTTTTATTCCTGTGGGCGCAAAGACCGCAGTCAAATCCGTCGTCACAACTTTATGAATGACCTACACTTGGGTAATCCGAACACACCTCTTACATGTGCTCGACCATTTCATAGAAAAAACTTTGAAACTTTTCTTGCAAAAAGTGTTCCGTCTATACAGTTCAAATTTGGAAACCAATTCAAGGCAATTGTGCGTGAAATATCTTCCTGTGTGTTCTTATTATTTGAACGCATCGATTCCAGAATCAAAATAGAAAGTGTAAAATTAGGAAGATGTGGAGCAACACTGTTTCTGCAATTTCGCATGCCTACTTTCTAGCCCAGTTTCTTAGCCTGCATCAAGTCAAACTGAACATACAAGGGACGCCAAAATTATTGTCGCCAATTTTGCAGTAATGCCACGAAAAACATCGCCAAAAAATGAAGGCTCAAATTTTTGCTAATTGCGCTAATTAAACCTTATAAAGTCATTTCACATACCTCAAAAATTTCTCAGGAATGCGAAAATCAAAAGAATCAGACTACTAGTTTCGAGAAGAGCAAAAGTTGAATTACCCTTATATTTTACTCTGTAACTGAATAAACTCAAAATGTCTCAGAAGCTTTCCACGCTGAGATTGTAGAGCACACCTTGCACTATCACATGGTCCTAGTTGCATTTGCAAAATCTTATTCTTTTACGAAGTGCGGAAACGTCTTTGCAAAAAATACATGCGTACGAGCAACGACTTTGAGCTCAAAATCGATGGTGGAAACTCAGAGATGCAATTTCTCCCAAATTAAAAACATTCCTTCGTTTTCGAGACAAAGAGTTTCTGTGAAGATCGATTAGCGCAAACAATTTTGAAGTCGATTTAGTAGACATTTTTTGATTCTCAGGCACACTCAGGAGGCCCAAATTACCACTGACTTTCGATATAGTGCCTCTCAAACCTATTTTTTGGGAAATGGAACCTCCTCGATTCAAGTTCTATCAGGTTGTGTAATAAGTTCCGTTTCATTTTTTTTTCAATTTTTTATGAAAATATTTACCTTAGTTGGAATAAGGTCTAAGAATGTGCTTTTGAAAGCCCTAAGTCTGCTCTACAAAATCGTATGCGTCTTCCCCCAACTTTGCGGGATGAAAAAGGTTATTGCAATCAGAAGAAAAAATCCGAGGAGGCAAAAAATCCATTTTCGACATCTTTTTTCTCTCCAGATTTTCCCGCTTTCCTTTAGTACTTTCCATTCAATAAGCTTGAAAACAAATAAAACAATCTATTATGTGCTTCTTTCCTTCCTTCTAGCAACTTTTAAGGTCATTTTTTTGAAAAGTAGGTAAAATAAGAATTTGCTGCAGTAAGCAGTAATGTTCGTCGCCTCGCCTACCTAAGCTGTGTGGCCCCAAAACTAACTTTTACATTTGATGATTCTATAACCGAGGACCACCTCTTCTGATTTTTCTGAATTATCCGTCTACCGTCCTTTTCCAGGACTGCCTTCAGGTGACCACGATCAACATTGAAGAACATTAGAAAGAAAACTTTTC